GCCAAATCTAACCACGGGTGCGTTTCCTCGTCCCATTCCCTCCCAACATGAAGTATCCATGGCACATCACCTTCCTTAGGTTCATGGAGTTGCAGCTGTAGTTTATAGTCGAGTGGTCCCTTGGAAATTCTCTCTCTGTACTCACGCTTGAGATAGTCCATTGGTAAGGTCTCATCGGGTGACCTTTCATTTATCCTGTAAGGAGATAAAATATCCAATAGACTTTTTTTGGACCAGAGTTTGTTCATTCCGGACTTTGAAAACTTATATCCTGTTTTTAATTTAGGTTATTTCATTTGCAGGAAATACACTGAATGGAATCTTTTAGCCCAAAATAAAATTCAACTTGACTAAAATATTGGTGAGAGAAAGACAAGCTGGACTTTTCGTGCCATAAACCTCGGTTTTGCCGATAGTGATATAAAGGTAGTTATCACATTGAATTAATTTTCACCTCGTCTAAACGGGTGATCTCCCATTCCTCCTTCATTTCGAAGGCAACAAGAGAACGTGAATAAGATAATAGCATAGCTTATATTGAATTCTAAATAACTCTGGCTAACACGTATCTCCAGTTGTCAGTTTGTATCAGTATAAAACTTCGCGGACCTAACTCTGATATGCGGAAAAGTTTTCTGGGATCTGTTTACAATGAGGATCCAAAAATACTATCCTAATGCTTTCTTGTCTCCATCCACACCCACCAATAGCAATAAGCAATACTTTGAAGATGGGGAAGTACTGTACGAATCAAACGAATGCATTTCTTTTCCTACGGTTTAACGAGGCAAGAGATACTAATGGAAGCTCAGGAAGATACAAATGAAGGTTGCAGTTTGAGATATTCTATCAAAATTGGATTCAAGATAAGGAGACTAGGATTTTCATATGTTTCTACTCCTCACCATGGATGCTGCTGGACTTCCTCAGGCAATAAGCCTGTTTCTGGCCGCCCATCAGCGGGCATCATACGGAATCTGACGTAACGCTTAACACCATCGAACGCTTTGAATTCGAAAATCGCCTCAGAGTAATAACGCTGGTCGTAAAACGATTCAGGCTTCTGGCGCAAGCCCCCAATGTTGGCTTTTAGGCTGTTTAAGACAAAGTAAATCCAAGATGGTAAATACATTCTCATAATTCTAGAATAAAGTAAAATATTTTTTAAGACTTTTTTTTTTTTAACCCTTTCTACAAGTTTTTAACACTTCGCTAAACAACATATCACATATGATTTGATTTGGTTTTATACTTCTGTGTGATTGTAGAGCTAAACAAGTTAAGTTCATCGTATAAGATGTCCGTTATTTTATCATTTCTTTGAATGTGACGAAATGATCCTCACGTAGAGAGCAATTTTCAATTGAGAGAAGAAAGTAATCTCTGATTTACAAATCAGACGACAAACGAAAGCAATCATAGCTTAGTCGCCTGCGTTTTTCCGCGCAACTGGTAGTTTACCTGTTTTAACTTTGAGTCCTCATTGTGATTATTTTGGTTTTACAAAAGTCAGTAAAAACTACTCTAAACTTCAATGCAAGTAATAAAATTATTGCAAGATATTTATAATCTTTCGGTAAATATTAAGCTGGAAATCGAGCGAACAAAAATTATTCAGACTTCAACGCGGATCCACTGGTGCCTCTTGTATACCAGTTGAGAGTATCTGTTAACTCGGTAAAAAAGCCAAATATAAGAGGCAAAGAAAACTAGGGTTCTTTGTCCCCTAAACGAATGTAATAGCAGATAGTAAAGCAAGTAAATAAATGAATGAGGTGAAAACACTAGCCCTCCGCCTCACAATCAGTGTTTAAATGGCCCAACAATTCACTTACTGGTCAGGTCCTATCAGCAAATAAGTTTTCAAATCTTTTGAAATCTTGGCTTTCACTGCATCAAAAATGGCCTGAGCGCTCCACAACGGTGTTGTCTCTCCAGTCCCCATAACAATATCGCAAGGACTTTCCATATCATCACTTCCGGCAAATCTTATGGACCCGCCACAGAAGTCAATCAATACGTCATCCACGGACTGTATGGTCGAATGACGGAGGCAGACTGGGTAAGAACGTCCCGGTGTGAAAAACTCGCAGGGTGGAATCTTTGGATTAGAGACAATAGTTGCGATTCCCTCGGCTCCAACTCCAATGGGATGTGTGCCCCGCTGTCCCTTGATTAACACCTTCGTGCCGAAGAGTAACTTGAGTTTGGTGGTATCGTATGCGATTTTGCTTTGGGAGAAAAAACCAGGTGGAGCAAGAGGCTATCCAAAGAAACAGCACAACAAAAGGAATTCAGCTCGCTATAATTGGTTTAAATGTGACATACAAATGTGCTTGTGCAGTTATTCTACTGGACATACGGAGGGGAGGGACAAGCAAAAAAGGTGTGGCATAGGAAAAGGACGCGATTGACTACTACTTGAAGTTAATGGAGCAGATTTCTTGAAATCAGTAACTGAAACAGAAAATTTTGCGGTGTCAATAGAAACATAAGAATT